TATAACGATGGTTTTGCCACACCAAAATTTCGTTTTTGGTTCGGTCTCATCACAATTCTAACAATGGTCAGGGAGATGGGCAAATCGAGAAATAGTAATTTGTTCAGAGAGGCTGAGATAGTATTTTGAAAAACAGATCTCAATTCCAAGCAATGTTATTCACGACCAGATCGTCTGAATTGAAGGAAGTATCATAAGTTGCGTGAGTTATCAAAAGGTACACGAGTGTGTTCACTTGAGTGATGGTATAAATACGACCATCACAAACTGAATACCTAAATTCTTTCAGATTTATCGACAAAGGACTTTTCCACGAACATATTAAGGGATGGATCCAAACAGGTAATCATGAGTAGGAAAGACAATTACTTCATAGACTCACATTGAGTGGAGAACTGCTCCTCTTCTGAGGGACCGGTCACAAGGCAAATTGCAAAATCCATGCAAGAGCTCCTAGTGGACTTGTGAAACGAATATCCTTGATAGAAAAGATTGCCTGGATGTACAGAGAATGAACCACTTGGTCTTCAAGTGACAACATCCCTTACATTTTGAGTGAAAGTGTGACTGAAGAGTCTCACAGGTCTTCAACAGGTCTCCAGCAAAACGACGATTTCGAACCTCTCTTGGCCAACCGTCGTTTCATCTTACTTCACTTTTTTGGTTGGCAATGCTCTCGAGGCAATCTCCCTCTGCCCCGATGAAAACATGCCGAATAAGAAGTGGGTTGACCTCGTTGTCGCAAATTGGTCTTGTTGTCAAGGCGACTATGTAGAACGCATCCAGTCCAAAGTCGTCTGCCATTGTAGTTGTCATGATTCTCAGCATCAGACATTGGTACATTTTCAAACGTTTCGCCGGCATCGTAATCGGCATCATCAGTGAGCGCTGCTTGGGCTTGGACCCACTGTCTGATGTTGGGAATTATGACAACTACTATAAATCGAAAGGAGACTGCGACCATACCAGAAGCCACACCATCTTGGTCATCATATCTTCATGCCGAGTAAGGATTATTGGAAAAAAAGAGTCAGTAAAACGTGATATTGAGATAGGTTCACCCTATTTCGTTTGGGCTGATGAAGGACTGTTAGTTGAATTTTCCTACAATCACATGAATGAATTTCGCATAAACTTGCTTCTCAAAAGATGTTCTCACCCAGGCTGAAGTGGACTGCAGTTTCGACCTCGCCTTGCCTGGTCTCATCAGCACCCCCAGTGGGACCCGAACTCGATTTTTGGTAGTTCAGCGCATAATCTCGTCATATTAACGGCTACGCCAGACTGCCACGAGTACCCTTAGGTCATAGGGCAAATGTGAATTTCAAGGAAAACCGGGTCTTTTCCCATATCACATTCTGTGGTAGGATTGTCGATGAAGCAAAATTGTATTTGCTATAGCAATTGGCTACGCCACTTATTTGCCGTTTGTAAGTAGCATTTCGATTCACTTGTAGTCTCGACACACTACTAATAAATGACAAAGTAATACGTGATGACCGAGAAAACATGTTGTGCTATGTCCTAACAACATGATTTCGTTCCCTTACATACGCATATTCGTACATACACACATACACACACGCACACACACACAAGCGTTCATTTACTTATGCCTCTGGATTGGAACAAGGCATGATATAGCAAAATCATTCTACATCTGACATAAGTGTGTATACATGTAGAGCATGTAGG